ATAATACAAGCTTCGCAAAACGTGGTGCCTGCCACGAAAGTGTACTGCATGGGAATATGTTTTGGACCCTGTGTTTTTAGTCTCTTTGGTATCCTTGGATGTTTCTTGATGCAATTTTGTTGATCCCTCACGTTTTTGTCTTTCTCGGATGGAAGGAATGCGAGGGAATTCGTAGTGTTCTTTGGAAATGGCCAGTGTTGTGCTGTTGCATTCTTTTTTTTCACACTTCCTTTTTTAACTTAGCCGGAAGAGTTTGGATATATCAACAGTCCCGTCTTCCATGTTCACTGCCATTGAGAGTGTTTGCTGCTTCCTTGACAATCGTCCATGTGATGATTTACCAGTTTCACTTGTAGGCAGGAGTGCAACCCTTGGTGTTGTAGTGTTTATGGTGGAACTCCTTAAGATCAATCTCCTTGGTCTATTCCTCCATGACTATCGGGTCGACCACTTTGCACCCGTTGGCTGCCACCGGGTGCCTGGTTCCGAGGCTACGCCGCCGAGTGGTGCGTCTTGGAGAATGAGGCGCCTCCGAATATCGAGGTGGCCGTACATGAGTTTCCGGGCCACGGGCATCGAGATGATGAAGACTTCTGCACTACCTTGGATCAGCTGGTGGACGATTGTTTTGATGCCTTCCGTGGCTTGGACGATGGTTTTGGTGCCGATCCATTGGCCGTACTTGTTCAGGTTCAAGCTCCATGCGGTGGAAGGTCGGCCGGAAGGATCGTCCAAGCAGCCTCACAGGCACCAAGCCTCCGCAATCATTTAGATAGATAGGTAGATAGATAGATAGATAGATCTAGAACTCCATTGGGTTTGGGCAGATGGGCTTCACACGGATCCATCTCCTTGAAGATCCCAGAAGTAGATGGAAAGAACACATGTGATTTCCCTTCGGAACATTTGCCGGATGCTTGGAATACATTTTGGACTGTGGCTGCTTGTGTTGATGTTCTTCCAATTGGCATCCAATCGACTTCTATTTTGGAAAGATAGCTCAAGTACCAAGCTTAGGCGGACGGGCAAGCACCGGGCAACCTGTCCCGCCCAGCACCACTCTCACTCCAAGAATCATTCAATCCATCCATGTGGTCCATCGCTCCATCCTCATCCGATCCTATCCTCAGGCGATGCCATGAACACGGGGGCCTTTGCCTTTCTGGGCCATTCGATCGGAGCATTGATGGCCATCAAGGTGGCGAAACGAGCCAAAGCGGAGCTGGGAGTGGAACCAGTCTTTGTGGCGACCTGGCGGGCAGAGGCAGCCAGAGAGCAGGATGGGAGTTTTTACAGAAGGTGGTTGAGTGTGGCAAGAACAGTGGACACGTGAAGGGAGGATGAACACTCAATTTATGTATTTTTTGTATGAGATGAACCCGACATTTTGGAGGGAACAGGAGAGGTGCTCGTGTTTGCCGACTGCTAGGTTTAGAAATTCAATTCGGTCGGTGTTCAGATCCTTCTGAGATGGAAGGGTTGCAGACCAACTACGATTTCATTCACTAGCCAGGTGCCGACGTCTAGCCAATACCCCTCCCAAAACTCCAAAAGGACTTGAAAGATGAGAGAGACCCTTTGGCACGTTTTTGTCTGTACTGAAGTGACACGGTCCGAGGAACCTTGCCTAAATGAATCACTTTCTTTTGGATATCCGGATGAGTTCTATTTCCGGGCTTGGACGGGTGGGGCGGCTGAATTTTCGATTTCAAGAGCCCGGTTGCGAACCAGAAGCTCCATCTTCTCTTCGGCGCAGGGATGGCCGGCCCACCAGTAGCACCACCAGGAAATCACCATTTTCTGGTCTGATTCAGACGTTTCTGAGAAAATAGACGACGATCCTGTGGTTGCTTGGACCGATGACCGCACCAAATCCGCATAGCCAACCACAACACCTTTCCAGAGAACCAACGCTTCCATGGAGTCGCTCCCGACGTCGCCGCCCGAGTGGCTCGTCGAGTCGCTGCCGACTCCTCGGGGGCCCAGGTGATGCTCGAGCGTGGGGCCGCGGAGTTCCCACTCTTCACGGAGAAGGGCGCGCAGTGGCTCCGGGAGGAGCCAGCGTGAAACGATTCCCCAGGAAGCTCCTAGCTACGTTCGTAGCTTCTTGTTCCTAATAGCGATGGCCTCCACCTAGTAGCTTCTAGACCTTGGGGAGGGGGAGAAGGTGGAAGAAGGGCGCCCCGGGTGGCTGGGCGGGCGGGTTGGTTCGCTTTCTGTTTCTGGTTGGAAGGACGGGTGCATGAATTGAGGGATGGAGACTCATGGAGATGGAGGGTTGTTTTCTGCGGTCCGCGTGTGCAGTCGGCCAAGTCAGGAGCCTGTGAGCTTCTTCGAAGTGTGGAACCCCACAGCCACCTGGACTGAAGAATGGTTCTAGGACCCTTGGGATGGCACAGTAAGATTGGACGGAGGGCACCATGGTTCATGGTATTGACTGGGAGCAGGTAAGTGTTCCTCCTGCAGGTTTCTGAGGGATAGACTTCAGCTGACCCACACGTCTCCAAATATCCATGATAGGATATGATGGGGATGACTTAGAAGGTGCACCAACGGCATTTGGACTCACCAAACCCTCCAAACGCCCCTTTTGAGAGGCCGTAGGTAGGTTGGCATGCAGCTTCGAGAGGCTGTAGGTCCACTGTAGGTTGGCAACCTCGGGGCTCAGTGACCCTGCAAGTGTCAATGAAGTGACTCGAGACACCATGTTGGCAACCTACCAACCTGATTCACCCTCCAAGTGTCCAGCAAGTGCCTTCGAGAGGCCATAGGTTGGCAACCTACAGGGCTCAGTC